TAACTGCAACACTAGAAAAACTATCAACGGTTGTGCACACGGAATTGCGTACAGCGCTTGCTACTCAGATATAGCCCAAACTTAACACTTTGCAGTAGAATAAAACACTTTTATGGCGCCTAACAATGTGCTTGTGAGATTAAATAATACTTACAAAGACGAAAGTTTGCCAAGGGTCAACACATGAAACAAAGATTGTTACAAAAACAAACCAAACAAGAGCGCTTACTCTGCTCGGACAGGAAACTGATGTCTTACTTTGTTTCCCCTTATATTTTAGCACAACAAACAACTATAGCTTATTATCACACTGGGCTGAAGAAGGCGCTGCGGGGCCCAAACATGTTGGTCCCTTCTCTGTTAAAGGACTTTTATCAGAGTGCCTCGGATTTCTCCCTGTCTTCATTTCCCATGGAAAAGGGAATCTTTGTTTTTAAATGTAACTTATTACATAGCATTTAAGAACATGTTGCATTTTAAAACTTATAAATGATTGAATTGTGTCTTTAAACTTGTAAACATGACAACTATATTACAAATAATCTTATTTGCTGGTGTCACAGCATTATTTTGTTGTGGAAAAAATATTGGAGAGTTATCAAAAAGTAATAAACAAAGAACTTGTCATAGTAAAAATCTGGTTGGCTCAAATGACTTTGCTCTAAACAAAGAAAAAACGAATACATGCTATTCAATGCTAAAAAGAAAAAAATCTTAAATAGTGTGTCGATAAGACTAGACGGAGGAAATTCAAAAGTGTAAAAGAAACAACATTTTTGGGTGTCATCATCGTTGAGGATCTGAGCTGTAAATCTCACAGACACTGTACAAAAGGAAAATTAGCCAAATCACTTGGTGTTTTACCCTTTCCAAACCACTCAGCATTACTGACCTGAGATAATACACTGATTATACCGACCTCACCTATGTAGTCAACATTTGGAGACAACGTTTAAAACACATACACTGCCTATAGTTATTTTACATAAAAAAAGACCAGAAGGAAAATATATCGAGATTCATCAAATCCTGTTTTTGAGTGCTTGGTGTTAAAATTGTATGTTATAGTGGATTATACTATTTATCATACATTGTATAAGGTAAATTGCAAAACATTAGCAGAAAACATCTAAGAGAACTTTGGAAAAAAAAAGACAATGTCGATACAATCTGTAAGTAACTGACATCTTTAATAAAACCTAGATTCAGAACTACATTCATGGGAAGAATGGTCTCAGTGGAAAGGAATCAACTTGTGGAACTTAATAAAGACATTAAAGAGTCAAAATAAAAAATCATGGTTTTTAAGAAACAACAAAACTACTATACTCAATAAATATGAGAGTGTTACATAATAAGAAAATCTGGATTTTAATTAATGGTTTGTGTTTTGGTAAAATGTTGTACATAATGTTTAATTAATGGTTTCTGTTTTGGTAAAATGTTGCACATAATGTTTAAGGTATGTAATATGGGTGTTTAATCAGTCTTTAAGATGACTATTTATGGTAACGAGTGTCAATTGTATATCTGAGAGATGTACGCCTTTAAATCATTTGATCTCCTGTAAAAAGAAAACCTGTACCAAGGACCCTAGTTTCACATCTACCTACTCTGTTTCAAACTGTGTACATATATGTATATAGGGTTCTTATTTTTATTGTATTGGACAATTAAATTGATATAGAGACTGCTACCTTATGATTAGGGTTAGGATTATAACGCATTAATTACGATTGATAAACGCCACTAAAAATATATGTGTTTTTGCTCCACGGAACCTTTGTCATCAGGTGAGTTTCAGACGGATCGTTCATACTGGTGTACCAGTTGGAACCCTGCGCCCATCTCCGTGAAAAAATAACAACTATCCCCCTATTGTTTTAGTGCAACACTCAGGGCCACATGATAAGGCTATCACACACACACACACCTAAGTGTCGCTCTTTCAGAGTTCGGGTGCAGTACCACTTGTTGCAGAAAAATAAAAAAAAACACCTATACAATACAATACAATTTATTCTTGTATAGCCCTAAATCACAACTGGAGTCATCTCAGAGGACTTACCAAAAAACTACTGAAAATCACCAACACAGATCGGAGAATCAACAGTTAAAACACATAAAGAATATAGACCACATGCCCGTACATGTTGTAGAATATTAAAGTGTCCTGGATCATCACCACAGTCCTTCTAGTTTCTCACTAACTGTGCAACAAACCCATCCTGCATCAGCAAGGAAAAACTCATATGAAAAAAGTGCGAAACCTCAGGGAGACCCATAGTTTGAGAAAGGGATCTGCTTCACTCAAGTGTTACCTATTGGAAAATAGGGCGCCATACCACCTTTTCATCACATGGTACTACATGTATCACCCTGATTGGACGTAGTAGGTCCATCCTCCCTCCAACCCCTTCATCATGATTCGCTGTTAGTACACCCTCCCAACCCCTTCATCATGATTCGCTTACACTGTTTGCTGTAGGTTGATAGGTCTGGGGGGCTGGTCCTCCCCTGCAGCTGTATTACCTATTAACACTTCTTCCCTAACCAGGGCATCACTGTTTGTTTTAGAATAAGCTTGGTGTGACCCTACGCAGGTGTTACGCTAAGCTCTGTTCAATAAATCACTTTAGACAACTGTGAAGCACACTTACACACTGGGGTCAACAGAGGGCAACTCATTAAACATTCAAAGTGACACCTCTCGGAAAATACAGTGCAGTAACACCTTTCACCACTTGCTCAATAGCGCTGTCTCTATTCTGAGGAGTTCAGGGTGCAGTACCACCTTTTCACCACTTGCTCAATAGCAGTGTCTATAGTATCTACTAATACCCTATCCAGTTATTATTATAGATCCATGTGGCCAACCAACATTGTGGGCTATGGCAAGGCAAGGCAAGGCAAGTTTATTTGTATAGCACAATTCATACACAAGGCAACTCAAAGTGCTGAACAACATAGCATTAAAATCATAAATAATCACAGAACATTAAAAAGAAAGATAAAAATATAAAATCCCTCAGTTGTATGCACAGCTAAACAGCACAGTTTTTAACTTGGTTTTAAACATTGTCAGAGAGGAGGCCTGTCTCACATCTTCAGGAAGATTGTTCCAGATTTTAGCAGCATGAATCTGAAAAGCAGCCTCCCCATGTTTAGTTCTGATTCTGGGCACTAACAGGAGTCCAGTCCCTGTGCTCCTCAGAGTCCGGGCTGGTTCATATGGGACTAACATGTCACTAATATATTTTGGTGCGAGGCCATGGAGAGACTTGTACACAAGCAGAGCTGTTTTAAAGTCTATTCTCTGAGCCACAGGAAGCCAGTGCAGAAACCTGAGGACTGGACTAATGTGGTCGTACTTCCTGGTTCTAGTCAGGACTCGAGCTGCTGCATTTTGAATGTACTGCAGCTGTTTTACAGCCTGTTTGGACAGACCTGTGAGCAGGTCATTGCAGTAGTCTAACCTACTGGAGACAAATGCATGGATAAGAATCTCCAAGTCTGCTTTAGACACTATGTTTTTGATCCTGGAAATGTTTTTTAGATGGTAAAAAGCTGCTGATGTTACTGATTTGATGTGGCTATTAAAATGTAAGTCTGAGTCCAGTATTACCCCTAGATTTCTGACCTTGTTTGAAGGTTTTAGGGAGAGAGACCGTAGATGACAGATGACGCTCTCTCTTTGTTTCTGGGGACCAAAGACAATCATTTCAGTTTTGTCTGCGTTTAGCTGAAGGAAGTTGTTTTGCATCCACTCACTGATCTGTTGGATACAGTGAAGGAGTGAGTCCACTGGTCCATGTTCTCCTGCAGTCAGTGAGACATAGATCTGAGTGTCGTCTGCATAGTTGTGATAGGACACTTTGTTTCTGCGTATTAACTGACCTAACGGCAGCATGTAGAGATTGAACAGAAGAGGTCCCAGGATCGACCCCTGTGGTACTCCACAGGTCAGGGCCATATGATCTGAGACACAGTTTCCAATCTCCACAAAGTACTTCCTATCTTCAAGGTAAGACCTAAACCAACTTAGGGCGGTGCCAGCGACGCCAAACCAGTCCTCTAATCTCTGTAAGAGGATCTCATGGTCGACAGTGTCAAAGGCAGCACTCAGATCTAACAGGATTAGGATTGAGACTTTGCCTGCGTCAGTGTTCAGCCGGATATTGTTTGTAACCTTGACGAGAGCAGTCTCAGTGCTGTGGTGGGGTCTAAAGCCGGACTGAAACATATCAAATGAGTTGTTGATTATAAGAAATCTATTTAGCTGTTGGTAGACAACTTTCTCAAGGACTTTCCCCATAAATGGCAGATTTGAGATGGGACGATAGTTGTTAAGTACAGTAGCATCCAGACTGCTCTTTTTTAGCAGGGGCCTGATGACTGCAGTTTTCAGGGCCTTTGGGAATATTCCAGAATTAAGGGACATGTTTACTATCTGTGTGAGTGAAGGTAACAGACTGCTCAGAACAGACTTTAGAAATCTAGTGGGTAGTACATCCAGGCTGCATGTGGAGGAGCTCAAACTGGAGATTATCTCTTGGACAGTTTTATCATTTACAGGTGCAAAGTAAGTTAGCTCAAAGAGCCTTTCTGGCTGTTGGATGGTTATCTGTGGATTGGAGACAATGGCGTTTTTGAAGCCTTGAACCTTGTCATTGAAAAAATGTGCAAATTCATTACATTTACGTTTGGAAGTTAGCTCTAATGGCATCTGAACAGGGGGGTTTGTTAATCTATTAACTGTTGAAAACAGTTAATAGACACGCAGATTGTTGCTGCAGCCTTCAATCATTTCAGAAAAATGAAGTGTGTCAGAGTGTAAGACCAAAAAGAGGCTGACAGGGGATTGTGTTTGGAGAAATCAGTTCCCAGAAAGTGGAACGCGTACACACCTGTTTTTAGTCAATTATTATTCTTTGGCTTTTAGTCATTTTCAAAGTGCTCTTCAAATGACATTGAGTTCAGAGTTGACAAGTCACACTTACACACAGAAACTGCAGAGCCAGTTGCATCCAGGATACCATGCTGCTACTGACATCCACTCAACATTCTACAGGAACAAAGATAAAGAGAAAACGTTAAATACATTTGCAAACAAAGGTTACAAATTCTAATTTATAAAAAGCCAAAAAAGCATTATCAGTGCAGGACTTTCTGAGTCAGAGTTATTGACTACCTTGACCCCGGAGCCCATAGCAGGTTTCCATTGTTCTGTACGGGCTGCATTTCCCTGACACACTATATCACAATTCTGTGGACATCAACTTAGTTTGTTTGTGGGCACAATCCTTAGATTGTGTTTTATTGTGTGAACCATGTGCACCAGATAAAGCAAACAAAGAGACTGGGGTTTTTTGTCCAGTTTTGAAGTGAAGAATATACAAAGTCAGATTCATATTCATTTATTTGCCATTTGCAGTAAAACCAAATTGTAATACATTTGCCCAGTGTGCACAAGACAAGTACATAAATAAAACAACGTTAAAAGTACAGGAATAAAACAACATTTTAAAAGTGCAGGAAACACTGTCACTGTGAAGTCGATCAACAGTTTTCAAAGGCAAGCTCATCTTAGGCTGCGGTCACATGCGCAGCCTACAGCCCGGTTGAAGTGGGCTAGGGCCCGCTTCGCGATTAGATCCGGGCTTTAGGTGCCATCTGACCACAGCATTCGCGCCAGAGCACAATTCCTGAAATCGTGCTCTGGCGTGGTTAAAAACTGCGGCCAGGGCCCGCTTCCCAGCACTGATGAAGGGGGTCAGTGTGGCGGGTGGTGGGGAGTGGGGGGTGAGGTGTGGTAGGGACTTGATATTGTGCGTCACATTACGTCTTCCTGTGACACGCACTTTCACACAGTCTCCCTGCACTTTTGTATTCTCCGCTTGTGTCAAACTGATAGTGGAGTTGTTGGATTTTCATTAAAGTGAATGAATTTATTCAAAGTTTAGACAGCTTTGGGTCTAAATGTGGGTAGTCTAGTAGGGTCTAGTATAGTTAACCAACTCATGTGATGGGACGCATCAGCAGCATTCTCCCAGCCCCCATGAGTGAAACACCAATAAGCAGGAAGCCGAAGACATCTGCTTTTGGTTAGGTCTCATGTTCACATTTGAGGAAGGCTCTTCTTCCTGTGATTTGACCAATCAACGACGCTCTGCGACTATGAGAAGCTGCGTCTTCCCCCATTCTTTGTGTTTTGCTTTTACATCTGCCGAGACCCAGACTGTAGTCTGCAACATGTCTGTGTGTGCTTATGTCCAGATAAACTGTAGTTTGAACTAGCGCTGACAACAGGTATTAAAGAGATTATGTTGTTGAAATGTGACTAGCTTCTTCACATTTTTTGGTCCTTCTTACGCCGGATCCCAACACACTTTTCTGCGGCGCTGAGGATGCCTCAAACATGGAATTTGGAGCAGCGTTGAGGCCTTTTTTTTTCATTCAGAACTGCTTTGAGGGCTCCATCTTTGAGGCATGCCAGCCTCCGGATTGAAGTTGACGGCAGAACTAAAGTTTCTGGACATCCACATGGACGAGGTAAAACCAAATTTTTCTAAAAAAAGAAACAAAATTTAAATTGTCTTTGAAGGCAGGTAATCCAATGTATCTCCTCAAAAAGCATTGGGGCAGTGAGATGTCACGCACCTCTAAAAAGTGGAGAATTTAAAAGGGTGAAAGTCCCCATTGGTTAGTTCATCGGTACCAACAAAGCGACAGAATAGATGAAACTTCTTTCCACCGGATGAAAAAACATCCTGAGAGAAAAAAAAATCTGCACTATGGACGCAAACGTGTAGTTGGAAAACCAGATCTGGTCATTTTCGAGGGAAAATGGAACATTTTGAAAGTGGTGATTTTTTTCTTCAGCCGATTAATGACTTTTTGGTAGAACTTTGTGGTAGCCTGCATAATAAGACGACAACAATTTTTCTAAAATAATAATTGAAATTGGACATTGAAATTTAGATATAAAAGCCTAAAGTCCGAGAGTGCGTGTTAACTGGATAGGGTATTACTAGCTTGTAGCTGAATAACCCATGTGCTCAGGGGATTCTCGCGGTACTGCAGACTGAACCAGACTAAATTCACGTGGGCTACCCAGACATTTTCCCCATAGAACTCAATGCATATTAAAACAGCTCAACCTCAGCTGACAGAGAACCTATAGCTTTAATAAAGGTCGGATTTTGTGGGGATTTTAGTGTCCCTTGTAGGCCTGTCACGATAACAAATTTTGCTGGACGATTAATTGTCTCAGAAATTATTGCGATAAGCGATTATATTGGCGTTCTGAGATCATTTGCATCGATTACAATGATCATGCAGGTACACCTTTTCAAAGAGAAATAAACTTTTATTTTTAACGAATATTTAACACTAGAACACAATAAATTTACAAACAACCAAAAACAATAAATAAAATACTCAAGTCTCTTAACAAAAAATGACCAGGAATAAAACTGCCAGGACCTTTGTAACGAAAATATGAAACAGATGCCTCAAATGTCAATAATTTCTCAGACTTTATGGCAGATTACGAGAAAGAAATACCAACATGTTGACTTTGTGTGGCTTAAGACAGGATCTCTCAGGAGTAGTCCCACCTCCCCACACACCAGGCGAATGACAAGTGACTGACATGTGGGTTCACCAATGGGGCGTACAGAAGTCCTGCTGCGGTAGCGCCCACCGGAAGTAGCGGGGCGGGCTTTGATGCTAACAGCTAAGCTAGCGGGTTTTTTGTGTAAAGTTCTACTCCAAGAATGCAAGTCTGCAGCATCTCTGTGTTCAGAGACCTTCTAGAGACTTTATATAACAGCAGTATGTGTTCACGGAGGTGCGACATAAGTTTATTTTATTGGTATGGTACGGTACTTCTGCATCGACGAACACGCTAACGCTAGCTGCGCTAGTATAGTCACTAATCAAGCCTGAATGAGAACTCAGCTGCCGGCATATGTTCACAACTACTGTGTCCCCCATTGTCAATCCTGGTTAAGTCCTGGTTTAGGTCCTGTTTTGGCTGTATTTTGTATTTTTAAGTAATTTCCGTCTGCTTGCTAGACCGCTAATGTTCCCGTGACCACTTTGCGGCTCTCTGACCCGAGAGAGAGGGGGGAGAGAGAGACGGGGGAAACAAACAAGCATGCAAATGGGATTTATCGCGGCCAGAAAAGTTATTGAGCAAATTTTATTTATTGTGCGATTAATTGATTTATTGACTATCGCGACAGGCCTAGTCCCTTGTCATCCTGAACTTTTTTTCTTCTTAAATCCTTCGGTTTTGTTTAAATCCACACTTTAGTGCCACAAACTCTGCAAGTCTGGCTCTCGCTCTAACTCCCGCTCTGATGAACTGCTCTGATTGGTCAGAGCGCAGCCGAGCCCCTCTGTGCACGTGCGTGAGACCCGGTGTGAGACCCACACACGCGTGTTTGGCGCAACACATTATGGGAGATCATCCACTGCGCAGAACCGGGAGGACCAGACGATGCCCAAATACAGGCGAGTTTCCCATAGATCTTTGCGAGTTTCCCAAAGTTCTTTGCGAGTTTCAGGCAACTTCCGCTAATCTTTCAGCCCCCATGCCGTCACAAAGCGCCACTGAGCACAACCATTCATTTGAATAGGGCGCCATCTTGGATCGCCGGGCCTTGGCGTGCGTGCACGTTTGAGGTGCAGCCCTTGTGTCCCCTTCTGTCTTCCCTCCTCCCTTGCTGCTGCTCCCTGTCCCCCCTCTTCCCCCTCTCCCCTTCTCCCTTGCTCCCAATTCTGTCCCTCCCGTCTGCTAAACTCTAGTTGAGTGGAGTAGTAAGTTTGTTATAGTTTAACTACTTTTGTTAATGCTAGCTACATTAACAAAAATAATTAAAAAGGGGTGGAACCAGTGATAAACATTTCACTGGTGAAAACATTTGGTAATGAAATTAGAGAATCATAGATAGATTTGAAATTTTTACTTTAGCTGTTAAAAAACTTTACAAGTTACAACATTTGGTGTGAGCTCAAAAGAATTAGGCTGAAACTGAACTAGATTGATAATAAATAGAAAACAAGATGGCGCCTCGTACGGTCGACACGGCTCTTTCATACATTGTAAACCATTTTACTCCCCTCGCGAGTTCGTTTCATTCATTCTTGTGTACAGTAGCATATAAGAGTAACGTTATGCCAGGGATAGGACAGTATAGGAAAGAATGGGTTCGTTGGACTAGATCAGAAGACTAGATACGGCTCTCTGGGAGGTGTGAGGCAAGTAATATTACACTCAAGAGACAGACTGGTTACCGGCGGGTGCCATGTATTTACAGTGAAAAACAAACAACATTTAGTGCAAATATATATACAGTTCTGCAGATCAACAGTTCAACAACACAACAATACAACAGCAGTACTTTTAAAAATGTCCAGAATGGTTCCCAACCATGGGTCACAGGTCGTGACAGAATCACACACACACTAAACCGGGTAGTGGGGTGCCACAACGATGTGGGCTTAAATGTTCATAGTTATGGAGTGTCTTTGCATTGATAATCCAACGGTTATTGCGACAGGTGTGTGTGGATGAGTGTGGGAGTGGACAGGATGCAACAGCCTCCTACCCTGACCGCAGGAGGATGTTGGTTGACAGGTTCTGGGTCTACCTCGCCATCGGATTCAGGGTTGTGTCTTACCCAGACATAAAATGGTCTGCATTAAAACAACAGGACTATGTTTTAAAACAAAATCATTCAGTAGCTAGCTCATAATTTAGCACAGTGTACACATGATCAAAACACATTAAATGGCATTAGGAAATAAGTTTCCTCTTCATTATGCAATGTATAAATACATAGACAGTCTCAAAGTGCATAGCATTCAATGTAGACAGTAACAATAACTACAACAATATATGACACTCAAAATACTCAATCAACCTGATTTATATCCTATTATCCGATTCATGAAACAACATGGTTATATTAATACACTATAGTAAAACAGTAGTGCATCGAAATGATAATGCTACATCTGGTGGCTACCA